GAGGTAAAAACTTAAACTTCTATCTCTTCATACAAGCATCATTTGGTCCTAATTTGTGAAATAAAAATGTAGATATCCTTGCTCTAAAGCTAACCATGTTCATAGATTTCATTTATATTAACTGTGCATAGAGAATTTTGGATTTGAAATTTCTGTAAAAAATTAGGTTTCAAATTAGGGCAAGTAAAATTAGCTTTGATCTTTGACTTTTAGTTTACATAAATTATATGGTTGAACTCGTGAGAAGAAACACTATAATTTTCATGTTTGAACTTTCCATTTTTATGGAGAAATGAAGAAGATACAGGTGATCCGACCATGGCTCAAGGTTGAAGATGAATTTACCTTCAGGAGGCGTTTTCTAATATATATTTATGCTTTTGTTTATATGAACGGATGTACAGCCACCCCAGTGGTAAGGCAGCGCGCAAAAATGCTATAGGTCACGGGTTCGAGTCTTAGCGTCTGCCTTTTGCAATTTTCTCACATTTTTTCCTTTTTTTGTCCCTTTGCAGCGCTGGGCCTCTCATTCTTGGGCCTTTTGTTTTTTTTGCTAATATGTTACCTCCAGTTTACTCATGATACTCCTGGCCCAATATATTTTTATTATTCATTTTATTTTCATTTTTATTCTATTAAATATATTTTCTTAATATTAAAAATCATAAAAAATATAAAAATGATAGATTTATATTTTAGCTTATTTTATTTTTCTCACAAAAATAATTTTTTTAGTTATATATTATCCATTTTTATTAATTAAAATTAGAACTAGTTTAAATATTTATTTTTTCTTCACACCCATTAAACATATTTATTTTAGTATAAAAAAGACTAAAATATCTCATAATGCCATATATTATTTTTTAGATAAAAAATACAAAAAAATACTTACTTTTTCTTAAAGAAATTTATTTCCTTTTAATCAAATAGAATTAGGGTTTATTCAAAAATCTTTTCTAAAAAAATAATTTCTTTTCTTAATTGATTTAAGTTAATCTTGATTTATTTATTAGGTTTAGGTTAAAACTTTTTTTCACATAAAAAATCAAACAAAAATCTTCTTTGCATTTACATACCTTTGCATATTTAATTCATCTTGTATATTATTTATTCCATTTATTTGTATAAACTCAATTTGATTGTAATAGATTAATTAGGTTTATATTATTGCAATCCCCATTCATAAATTGTATACCCCCCCTCCCACAAATGTTGTAATAGCGTAGTAACTTTAAATTTCGCAATTTATTACTTTTATATAACATGCTAGTAATTAGGGTTTGTATTGCAAGTTAAAATCAATCAAATAGAAAACCTTAACCCAAGACAAAATCAAGCATGAAAATGACACACTTGCACACAAAACACCCCTAGGGTTATCGCACTTGGTTGCCTTACACAAAAAATGGCCATATTATGCATGTAAGGTGTCTTAGCAAAAACAAACAAATACAAGATCATAGTCCCTCGATGACGCTATTCAAAGTTGCCTTACCAAATGATCTTAGTCCCTCAAAAAAGCTAAGATACCTTGCAACATTGCTAATCATGGTTATACGATGACCAACGCCCGTCCCGTTTACATCCAAAGATAGGGTTGCTTACCAAATCAATGGTAAGATAACAATGTCAAAGGAAAATAAAATGAACAAGAAAGACATTTGAGTAGGTAGATTACTTTTAGTTACTTGCTCCATTTCAAAATAAATATCCTTGCTATTTTCAAAAACAAACACCTACACATTTTCAAACATCTTACAAACATTGAAAACATTTTTAAAAAAGATCAACATCTTTGTATACATTCTTACGATCGAGAATCATTACAAAGATTGCCTAAAACAATGGCCTCTTTTACAAAATATTTTCAAAAGACACAAAGCACAATTTCAAACAAAAGCTAGTGATCTAGCAAGTAACTAAGAGCCCATGGAAAACCATGGATGAAAAGGGTGCTAATACCTTCCCTTTTCATAATCTACCCCCCTAACTCAAGAAACAATCTCAAAGGTCTTTCCTGTGCTTTTTCACTTTTTCTTTTGGATAAAAAAAAGTCAGTGGCGACTCTTGCTAACCGCAACATTTGCGATAAAACATAAAACAATTAAGTCAGTTCTCCCACCGTATCACAATTGTATAGCTTTCATTTTTTACGGCGACGTTCTCTTACTAGAGCGCCAGCCTCCTTGTACAAAAACGCCTGTTATAGGCCAACTTCAATAAATTAATACAAGTCATTTTTACAAAACCATTTGTTTTTTCTTTTCCTGTTTTGTTTTGCAAAAACGTCCAATGATTTATTCTTCACATATGCATTTGAATATAATTTCTATTCATAAATATTCGCATAAGAAACGGAAAGACAGTTGCTCGTAACTTAAGGTACAAGGGCAAAGATAGTTTTAAAACCAGATCACCATTACATGTGATCCAGTGATGTCTACACTCCCTGTAGCGATAAAATATGTAGCAGGGTAAATCGGAGATCGAACTATTAATTAATTTGTCTCACAAAAGCAAGAGTCGCCACCGTGCTCTATTGTTTCCAAGGGAAAAGGGAAAAGAGCGAAATAAAACCCTAAAGTATGCAATGTAAAATAATACTTTTAAAAGTAATGAAAATACAAGGCGTTTTGAAAAGAGGTCTAGAGTTCGGGGGTTGGTTATACAATGGGAAAGTATTAGCACCCAATGCATCTATAGTATCCTATAGGAACCTTTTGAAATATCTGTTTATTAAAATTTGTTTGTTTGATTAAAAATAAATTGTTTTGGCCAAAGAGGGGTACGAACGAGTTTTTTGAAGATACGAAGACCTAATGTCGAAGTTTTGACTTAAAAGGTGTGAGTTTATTTTGAAGAAATTTGATATTTGGGAAAATTATCCTATGTTTTTAATGAATGAGGGTATTCGCACGATGTTTTTTTTTTATGACATAAAGTCGACAAAAAACTAGACAATTCCCTTGGATTAAATCGAGCGAGCAAAATAAAATAGACATCGAAATATAAGCAATCAAAATTCACAAGAAAATAAATATAACGAAACAGATTAATGACCTAAAGGCATCGAGAAATTAAAATGCAAAGATATTTAAATAAAATAAAAGAGAATGTAACTAATTGTCTAAAGAAGTTATTTAAACTAAATTAAAAATTTAAGATTACTTACTAAAAAAAATTCTAAACTAACTACAAATTCTAAGGTTGTAAAAATAGTTCTAAAATTACTAAATTAGATCTAAGCTAAATTAAAAATTTTAAAATTAGTAAATTAAATCTAAACTAAATAAAAATTCCAAGGTTGCTAATTTAAAACAAAAAAAATTCCAAAGTTACTAAACTAAATCTAAATCAAATAAAATTCTAAAAGAATATTAAACTAATTCTAAACAACTAAAATTCTAAACTTATTAAACTAATTCTAAATCAAATAAAAATTATAAACTCATTAAACTAATTCTAAATCAAATAAAGTTCTAAAGTTTACTAAATTAAAACTAAAAACAAAAAAATTCTAAAATTTACTAAGTCAAATCTAAATGAAATAAAATCCTAAAGTTACTAGAATAAAACTAAAACAAAATAAAATTCTAAAGTTTACTAAGTCAAATATAAATGAAATAAAATCCTAAAGTTACTAAAATAAAACTAAAACAAAACAAAATTCTAAAGTTTACTAAGTCAAATCTAAATAAAATAAAATCCTAAAGTTACTAAAATAAAACTAAAACAAAACAAAATTCTAAAGTTTACTAAGTCAAATCTAAATAAAATAAAATCCTAAAGTTACTAAAATAAAACTAAAACAAAATAAAATTCTAAAGTTTACTAAGTAAACTAAACTTAAATTCTAAAGTTTCTAACTAAACTAAACAAGATTTTACAGTTAATAACTAAAACTAAATTAAAATTATAAAATTACTAACTTAAAATTCTAAAGTTTACTAACTAAATAAAAATTAAAATTATTACAATAATTCTAAATTTAAACTAATTAGTTCTAATTGAAAAAGGAAACTTTTTGTAATTTATATATGATTAAACTAATCAACCTAATATTAAATCTAACAACTATATATTTTTAAAGTTACTAGGTTAAATCTAAAATAAAATTTTAAAGTTAGTAGATTAGAACTAAATCAAATAAAAGAGTAAAGGGGTAATGTTAAAACAGAAAAAAAGGGAGTGGTATCAATAAGTCTTAAATGGGCCTGCTGATTGGAATAAGGCCCAAGGCATGGAAAAACAAAACAAACTAAAAAAAAGAGACTTTAATGGGCCAGACTGGGTTAGGCCTGGACCCGGTTTCCATCTAGAAGGGGAATGAAGGGTTTTGGAAACCCTAGTTGAAAGGTGCGTCGCTGGACGTTTGAGAAGAGGAAAAGTTATAATTTATTTTTCTTTAATCCCTAATTAAAAACTTATTAACCAATTTATTATTCCGAAAATTCTCTCTCTCTCTCTCTCTCTCATAGCTTCAACGATCGTTGCTTCCACCCTTTTTCTTCCGAAAAATATCTCATCGTCTCTCTTCTGTTCATTCCGTGAAACAAAACAACAACGGAAATCTCGTCTTTCTCTCATCAGCGGAATCGCTCAGCACTTCAACTCTCAGCCTCAGTACCATAAACAACAAAAACAATGGCAAATCTCTCTCGCATTTTATCCTGGTACGAATCTCAAACGCTCAAATCTCAATCTCTCATGGCTTTATCCTTTCAGAACAACAAAACTCATACCTCACACAAATTAAAACAAACAGAGCCCAAATCTAAAGGAGGATGTTTGAGAAAGATTGCAGGTATTGAAGATGCAGGGAAACAGAGGGATCGTTTAAATTGTTGGGTTATAGTTGTTGTTCGTGAGGTGAAGAAGGGTTGGATGGAAATGGTGGTGGTGAATTGAAGGGGTTAATGTGAAGGTGGGTTTTGTGTGGGTTACGGTTGTAGGACGCAGGGAGTATGTGAAAGGGAAGAGAAACAAGAAACCCTAAACTAAAGAACAAAGGCGCCGCTGTTAGCTTTATTGGGAATAGAGACAACAGACTTTATTATTATTGCTGTCAAACGCTTCTTCCTATGTTGTTCCTCTGATTCATATACTTTCTCTGGAAAATGCCATACAGGCTTTCCGCTTGGAGCCCCATAAGCATTTCCGTAGAGAAGAAGGTAGAGTCTTCTGTCAAGAGCTCTTTGTAGTGTCCTTAGATCATTGTTTTTGTTTGCTTCAGTGATTCGTGGTGCTGGCACATAATCAATTTGATAATCACCTTTCCCCCCTCGCATCGGATCTGTCTAGAAATTCATCGGGGTATCTGCGTTGATATTGCTGTCGCCATCGAAACGAGAATTATTGAAAAGCATAAACAACAGGGTCAATTTTGGGAATGAACACGAGCAATCTCTCAAACAGAACGGAAGCAACCATTTTCTCAGAACTCGAACCGAATCCACGCCTCGTTATGAGAGGCCGAACCAATGACATCTTCATCCTTGGCCGAAAATGGAAGAGTGATTGTCACCAAAAATTTGCAAAAATGAGGTAGCTAGCTACTGGTGTGGAGTGAAGGCGACTGAGGATGCGCAGAGAAAGATGAGAAAAGTGTTCGTTGTTCTGGGAGAGGCAAGAAAGTTTGGATCGATGGTTTTTTTTGTTGTTATCATGAGAAACCAATGCTCCAAATCGAGAGATTGAAAGAGTTTTTGTTGTTGTGTATTATTTGAATGCATGTTTGTGATTGAAGCTACGGAATGGAGGAAGTAACTCAGTATTTTTTCTTAGCAACTTTTCTCTCTTATTTTTCTTTGTGTTCTGTATATAAAAAGAATGTTCTCCCCTAATTTCTCCCTCTTAATTCTAAAAAATGCAGGTTTGTTGAAGATTGGAAGAAGATACAGTAACTTTAGTAGGGATTTTTGAGGTGAGTTTTGAGTGTGTTTTTGCGGTCTATATTTGTGGACTCCTCTGATAAACTATATCAGGAAATGATTTTTTGATCTGGTTTATGTTATCGACTATTGATGCAGGTGGTTCGGTGATTTTATGTGTAAAGATGGAAGTTTGAAAATTAATGATGAAGTAATGGTGATGAGGGATGGTTGATGTAATACTGGATTAGGAAGTAATTCTGTTTTCAAAACGGTTCAAACAACAAGAATGATTCACAACAACAAAGAAATCTTTGAAAAGCAGACAAATATCACAGCAGATATAATCCTTACGATACCATGAAAATTCTTAAGACCAAAACAACAATGTAATAATAACAGTGTTACCTGTCCGAAAGTTATCGGAGTGACGACTCCTCGAGGTAAGTCTCTTCTCTTTTTCCTCAGTGTTGTTACCACGAATTTCTCTTCTCTTCCCGCTTCTAAGAGTATGCTGCAACTCTTATGCTTTTGTTGTTGAATGACGTCTTGTTGTGTTCTTGTTGTGTTGTATCGACCAGAGCTCTGATTTTTTTTGACATTGATATGCTACAGATGAGATGAGGCGGATGTTGTAGGAAGATTGGAGGTGTGGCAGTTGCTAGCTAAACTACCAATTCTATGTGCCTACTGTGTGCTATTTTTGATTCTCTAAGGTGGATGATTTTTGAGGTGTAAAACAAATTTTTTGTTCCCTTTGTGTATGTATTTTTCTACTGATTTCTCTCCTCTACTGTCTTTCACAATGAAGTTTTTCTTTCTATTTCAATTCCCCCCTGTTCTATGTATTCCCCGTCCTTGTATAGTAAATCATAAATGATTTTTTAGGGGGGAAAAAGGGTGAGACTTGAACAGATTTAATACTCTGATTGTGTGACTTTTTGTTACAATTTTCTGTTTTTCTAATTTAGTGAAAATTCTGGACTGATACATGGCAGGGCAGCAACACTGTTTTTTTTTTGTGGGCAGCAGGCTTTGGAGTGTAGCAAACAATAAGGACTGGTTTTCCATGTTCAAAAATATGGTTTTGGGACCACAATTTTATTGGACATAAAAATAAATAAACAAAGACAATAGTAATAATAATGATAAAAGGTAATTTGTTATTAATACAAAAATAGAATAATAATAATAATAATAATAATAATAATAATAATAAAAATAAGATACAAATAAAATTAATTTTATTTTAATTTTAATATTAATTCAGTTTTAAAATTGAATTAAAATTAGAATCAAATCAAAATCAATATTGGATTAAAAGAAACTAAAACTATAATCACTAAAAATAATCAAAAAAAGTAAAATAAAGGAAAAAAAAATATTAACTACATTTTTGAGATTTTCTTTGGATTAAAATTTTATACTAGAACATGAATCTAAATGGAACCAATAAAACTATATTAATTTTTTTATATTTTTTGTATTAAGAATTGCGATTTTAAAATACTATAATGCTACTTATAAATATTTTTTGTGATTTTTCTAATAATGCGTTTGTAAAAAAAAATGACATGAACTAAAATACATATTTTTTTTTAGATTTTTTTAAATAATACAAAAATGATAAATACAAGACAAAAAAATGTGCGATATGCACGATTTGGTAAAGGTTGGACAAGACATGATCAAATTTCATTAAATTCACAAAGCGACTTCTAACGTTTTCATTCTTTCGTGGCATTTCAAAAATAATCAGTTCTTGACTTCTAAAGAAAGGTTGTAGTTGTTGTCAAGGAGAATCATGTGTAAAAGAACCACTAAAAAAATGTCAAAATTCGAAGAAGTTATGAATTTTGAAATCTGACCCGAGAAAAAAAAGCAAAAATGGGTCCAATCGCTTGTGAACACTTGCTATGCAATGACACAGATGGGAGGTGGGATCTTAGGTCAAAAATTGGGGTACGACAGCTGCCCCTATTTAAGTTTCTTCTATCTGGAGATATGAAGATTAAAATCTTCGTCTCGACGAGATTGAAGGTACTTAAATACATAATACGCAATTTTTTACCCTAAGATACCGCCATTATGTTTATGATATGGATGTAGTATTTAAATTCACAGAGAATGATATTGTATGAGACAAGATAACGCTGGAGAAGCCAAACACCAACAAATCACATGAACATAGATTATACACTACTGGGGAAATAAGCCATCGACTTCAAATGATAGACTCTTGACGGCGAATAAAAATTTGAGAGAATACGACCTCTGACCCTAACAAAGAAGGCATCTTGCATAGGCCACAAAAACAGATTATCGACCCAAAATAAGAGTGAGTTCACAACTCAAGGTCAAAGATAGACAAAAGATGTATCAATTTTGCTGATAATGGACTGCCAACTTCTGAAGGCAAAGATTTCATAACGAGCCTCTCTGTGAGATTTCCGGAGATATACTAATTAATGCTGAAATAATAATATGGTTGTAGATGCACAAGCTACTCAAATAAAGAAGCTTCCACTTGCTGTCGTTCAAAGATGTCAATAACATACAAGCTGCTCAAATAAAGAAGCCGCCACTTGCTGTCTTCCAAAAATACTATGGCATACAAGCTGCTCAAATAAAGAAGCTGCCACTTGCTGTCTTCCAAAAATACTATGACATACAAGTTGCTCAAATAAAGAAGCTGCCACTTGCTGTCTTCCAAAAATACTATGACATACAAGTTGCTCAAATAAAGAAGCTGCCACTTGCTGTCGTCCAGGGATGTCAATAACATACAAGCTGCTCAAATGAAGAAGCCGCCGCTTGTCGTTTTCTAACGATGATAACGTGCAAGTTGCTCGTGAAGAGCTTCCGCTTGCCGTTTTCCAAAAGATAATAACGTACAAGTTGCCCGTGAAGAGCTGCCGCTTGTCGTTTTCCGAAGAATAACTCAGAAGGAAATTGCGATGAAACTGGCAGAGAATAAAATCTTCGTCAAAGAGAACCATGAATCAATCCTTCCCGAGGAGATCACATACTTAAATGTGCAAAATAAATGCATCATTCGTCTAGGTAGCGACTTCACTGGGGAAAATCATGAGATGGCCTATGCAAGAGACAACAACTCCCTCCAGGAATAAACCAGAGAGAAAACAGTCAAACAAGACTCCACCCAATGAGAAAGTAACTTGATCGGGGGATTCATCCTATCCAGAAATGGACAAGGTAGGCTAAATCAAAAAAAAATCATCCACGAGGATTAGCTCAGTTGGGGAATTTAGAAAGGAAGCACATTTTCTGCCTAAGCTAACCTTCTACTTGGAAAGAACATGTACATTGTCTTAGTAAACAAAGTATACAACCCAAAATCAAAGAAAAATGTGAATATGCATGCTGATATAAGTGTAAATGAGTAAATGAATGTTATGCTGACAAAACAAACAGATGGAATAACTTGAAGACGATAAGATGTCACAACATAATAGATACTCGGCCAATCTTAAAAAAGACGGACAATAACTGGAACTGGAACCACAAAGCAACGTCAGAGTGTATCCGCTACAAGGCTCAAGTCTTATGAGGAGAAAAGTACTCAAATCCAAACTTCTAATACCAATAGACCACTGGCATGAGACAAAGCGTACCACACTACAGAAATATGCTCAAATAAAGATAACTGAAACAAAGCTTAACTGGAAAAATTAGGGAGTCACCAAACTTAGTACCACGAGAAACGCAAGTTTACACAACCAACACCTCATGATGATTTTGGAAGAAAACCTGTTCATCATGCAAGGATAAAATACTGTATTGTTTTGCATTTCATGGCTTGACCATCCTCGGAACAACTATTAATATCCCTTTCATTATTCACGACACATTTTTAAAATAAGAATACTTTAAATAACTTTGTTTCAAATATTTCCGTAAAATTAAAATTTTGCCCGCAAAAGGTAAATGCTCAAATTTCATTAGTAAGATGGTAGTTCGCTAACAACGCGACTCCAACGGTTTACAAAAGTTTGGGAAATAGTACATGAAAGAAAAAAGGTTACACAAAAACAATGATCACTATTCTCCCTAACAACTTCGGATTCCGAAATGTGTTCAAATGCCAAGACTGGTCTGACCAAAAGCTTGCCTAAGCCGCCCCTTCGGGTTTTCAACTTAGCGAAACTGTCAACTCAAACCTAAGCGAAATACTTCTTGACTGCATCGACGTTCATGGAGCGCGGGAGCTCTTCACCGTCCATATTTGTGAGAATCAAGGCACCTCCAGAGAAAACTTTCTTAACGACATACGGTCCTTCATAATTCGGAGCCCACTTGCCCCTAGAATCAGGTTGGAAAGATAATATCTTCTTGAGCACGAGGTCACCTTCTCTGAACTCGCGTGGTCGAACCTTCTTATCAAAAGCCTTCTTCATTCTTTGCTGATATAATTGATCGTGACACAATGTTGTCAATCTCTTTTCTTTGATTAAATTCAACTGATCATATCTACTTTGACACCATTCAGCCTCTGAAAGTTTAGCTTCCATCAACACTCTCATAGACAGAATCTCAACCTCCATGGGGAGTACTGCTTCCATACCATAAACTAGGGAAAATGGGGTTGCGCCTGTTGAAGTT